TCCCACTATATAGATGCGTTTCCCAAGTGGCCTTGTATACATCATCATTCAAAAGACACTCTCGACCAACGACCATGGTGCTCTTTCACTAATATCGCTCATGAACAGAGATGAAAAACATGTTAATGACAGGCAAGGGACTAACATATATGTAGTATTAAACGGTATATTTCCTGTAGCCCGCCTTTATTCATTATTTAGCCACAACATAGTTAGCATCATTATCATCATAATCAGCAATAAGATTAATGTTACCAGTTTCCTTATTAAATCCACCCCCTCATCAACAGCATAAAAAGTAACAGGATTTATAATATGAGTTTTTAAGTCATCATCATCATCATCATCATAAAAAAACGTAGGATTAATATTACTATCATCATCATCATCATCATCATCATCATCATCATCATCATCATCATCAGAAAAAGGCAATTGGATTAATATTGCCATTATTGATATCACGGTCATCACAATCAAGCATACCATGAGAAGGAATAGAACTAATATTACAATTATCCTTATAACCTTCATAATCATCATGACCATCATCGAAAGCATATACAGAAAATGAATCAATATTTCGATTATCGATATCATCATCATGATCAACATCACCGTAATGAAATGAAATAGAATTAATATTATGATTATTGATATCATCATCATCATCATCATCATCATCAAAAACAACATCATGAGAAGGAATAGGATTCATATTACGACTATCGATATCACCATCATCATCAACAGAAACATCATGAAAAGGAATCACATTGATATTACGATGTTTTGTTCAGTTGTCAGTACAGACGTACAGCATTTTTTTTTATTCCTTACATGTTTTTAAATAAAGAAAATAGCAAAGGCTTTATTCCTGCACTTTTGCGGTTTTTACTTTTATATCCTGATTTTCTTATTCCTCTTGTTTCATTTTTTTAGCCAACTTCCTTGTTTCGCATAGAAAACAATATTGACTGTAGTTCTGTTTATGGCTCGCAATCCAACGTGTATGAACCGAATGAGATGAAGATGGGAGTTTATAAGAACGATGGCCGGAACGAAGACAACGAAAGAAAAAGTGTAAGAAAGAAATGGAAGAAATAGATAATGAGATAAAGAATGAAAATGAAATGATCAGACAATGAAGGAGGAGAAAGAGGATGAGGAGGAAGATAATCGCTAAAAGTGATTACTTATTGCAGAACCTAAGGGAGAGTGGGAACTATACCATTTCATCTTCCCTTTGGGACTGATCAAAGACATTTTAGGACGAAGCAAGTTCATAATGAAATAGCAAATTCCCAAACGGTATGTAGCAAATTCAAAATGGAATAGTCAAATATAAAGTGGGACATAGCAAATTCAAAATGGAATAGTCCAATTTAAATTGAGACATAGCAAATTCAAAATGGAATAGTCAAATATAAAGTAGGACATAGCAAATTCAAAATGGAATAGTCCAATTTAAATTGAGACATTTGCTACGTCCCATTCTGAACTTGGCTGTTTCATTTTGATTTTGCTACGTCCCATTCTGAACTTGGCTATTTAATTTTGAATTTGCTACGTCCCATTCTGAACTTGGCTATTTTATTTTGAATATGCTTCGTCCCATTCTGAACATGGCTATTTCATTTTGAATTTGCTACGTCCCATTCTGAACATGGCTATTTAATTTTAAATTTGCTACGTCTCTGTCTGAACTTGGCTATTTCATTTTGAATCTGCTTCGTCCCAAAACGACTTTGATTAGTTCACAAATTGAACTTGAAATGGCATAGATAATGGACGATGATTTGATCGAGATCAATGTGCAAACGCAGCTGAGATCGAGAAAAAGAGAAAGCAACTGCCAAAGAAAATATGGAATTAAAGGAAAGGGGAGAAAAGAATAGCTAAAATAAAAGAAAGAAAAGAATAAGTATTCTAGGGATTCCACTGACAGGAAGCAGAATAGAAGGACTGGATCTTCATTAGGAAAACATCTTGAAAAATGGAAGAATGTGAACGAAATGTATCGCGACAAAGAGTAAGAGAATAAGAGAATGATAGAAGAATAAAAAAGAACAGAAGGAAATTCATGTAAAATGTGAATGAAATGTATCGCGAGAAAGAATAAGAGAATAAGAGAATGATAGAAGAATAAAAAAGAACAGAAGGAAATTCATGTAAAATGTGAATGAAATGTATCGCGAGAAAGAATAAGAGAGAAAGAATAAAAGAATAGAAGAAATTCATGATAATGAAGAAATAAAAAGAATAAGAGAATAAGAGAATGAAATTCATGGAAATTCAAAAATGTGAATGAAATGTATCGCGAGAAAGAATAAGAGAATAATAGAAGAATGAAAGAACAGAAGGAAATTCATGAAGAATAAAAAGAAAAGAAAGAAATTCATGATAAAGAATAAAAGAACAGAAGAAATGTATCGAGAAAGAATAAGAGAATAAGAGAATGATAGAAGAATAAAAAGAACAGAAGGAAATTCATGTAAAAATGAAATGTATCATGAAATGATAGAAGAATAAAAAAGAACAGAAGGAAATTCATGTAAAATGTGAATGAAATGTATCGCGAGAAAGAATAAGAGCATGTTTCCCTTTTATTTGAGCTTCAAAATTTTTTAGAAATAAGTTTTGGAAGAGAATGTTCCAGTATACTGAGTTCTGTGTCGTTTGTTTTTCATTGGTCAAAGAGATTTCACCTATTTATGTTTTGTCGTGTTAATGTGTGCATGTGTTTGTGTGTGCATGCATGTATCTATGTGCGTATGTGTGCGTGTGTGTGTGTGTGTGTGTGTGTGTGTGTGTGAGAGAGAGAGAGAGAGAGAGAGAGAGAGAGAGAGAGACAAATAATTAGAGAGAGATCGCGTTTGGATTCTAGTGAGCATTTTTGTGTCTCTTTGGTAGTGTCTGTGTGTTTAACACTTGAAGCTGGTTGTGGAAAGAGAAAGGGAAGAGTGTGAATTTACGTGTGTGTGTCAGATTTATAATTCGTCTTGCAGCAGTTTGTGGTGTCGCCATGTGTATCGACTGTTGGTTAGGTGTACTATTATCATTATTGTTATTATTATTATTATTATATAAAGTTTGCTGCAAAAAATATCTAGTACAGTGCTCGAAAGCCTCTCAAGTTAGAGGATTTTTGTTAAAATAGCTATGATGAACTGTGTGATATCATTGAAAGAAAAGGAGATAGTAAGAGAAGATTCTGAGGATAAGGAGGATAGATAAAGATTGACTCTTGATTTGAAACGGCTAAGATCTCATTATCCAGGGAAACATCGACGATTGTGTCTCTGCTACAAAATTGCAGCTGTTGATTATAAAATGGTGTGAATGGAACTTTTCCCTTCAATTTCGAATATATATATATATATATATATATATATATATATATATATATATATAAATTGTAGCCTCTGTCTGTCTGATTGTTTGTTACCGAACTCCTCCTCGGGTTTTGGAGATAGACCCCCATAATCATATATATTCAGAAATTACATTACCCAGGGTACTTGGATAAGTATATTTCATTTTGATCAAAGGAGGCCCCCGAGGGCACCCATCCTGAATTTTTTTCCCTTTCATTTAGATTAGATTTAAATTTGATCAAGGGAATGACACCTATACAAAATATAGGAGAAAGCTAGAAGATGGAAGTCACATAGGCAAGATGGACGTCAAGTTGAGCAAGAAATCACCAGTCAGTGAGTAATGCCTTACAGTTCATTTGTTACGACAATTCAACTGTCATATCAATGCTGAAATCTGTTCATCAGTTTATTCAATCAAGTATTGCATCAAATACTTATAAAAGGAGTCAGATGAAGCTGTTTTTCAGAAACATCAAAACTGATTTTTTTTTGCCTTTGATTTAAATTAAATTTGGATTTGAATAAGGGAATGATTCCTATGCAAAATATAGAAGGAGAAAGCCAGAAGATGGAGGTCACATCGGCAAAATCTTTGAGTAATACTAAAATGAATCATTTTTCTCCACAAATTATAACAATGACTTAAAATCAATCATCGTTTTCTTACAAAATAGATGTGACACACTGCAAGTCGCGGGTAATTCGGCTAGTACAGAATAAGTTCTAATTGTAAATGTTTTAACTAACGGAACTAAAGAAAGGATATCACGTATGTTTATAGAAATTTCGACAGGCTTGTAAAGTTGCTTCTGTGGGAAAAGAGACAGCAGAAGGGAGAGTAGATTTTCCGCCACAATACCGGGTCAAAGATTTTGAACTCTATCAAGGTTGGAAAATGAAAATTAAGTAACTTCTTTCAAATTTGGCAGCAATACGCTATTTTCGGTCTAATCAAACTCTTGTAAAGACAAAGTATATCAGGAGGAGTCAGCTACTACCTGAAGCGATATAATAAACTGACAATTTTCCGGTCATCTTTAGCAGTGAAACGCATATAAGAGATCCACGAGGTCTGGAGTGAACTTGAGACACAGACGTTCAAAGTATGGAGCCTTGTATAGAACCGCTTTCGAAGATCAATGGTTAAAATGACTTTGAGAGAGCGCCTGTGAATATTGGTGGACTGGCGATATACAATCACAAACAAAATCTGTACCCAATAATAGAAACGACATCTCTTGAGGACCTTCAACAGCAGCAAAAGCTAAAGTGTGTATCACATGTAAATCGAAAATAAAATAATGATATAATCAAAATATTGACCCTCAACACCATTTTAAATAAAAGATTAAAACGATTTTCCTGGAAAATTATTTCAAGAAAAAGATTTTATAAATTTCATTCGACTGTACAAGCTGTTCGGTCCGTTAATGCCGAATGTTTCCTTTTAAGGAAACGGATAATATTACCGTCGTCATTAACCATAGTGCCACCGTTTATCACGAGTACAAAAAAAAATATCAGTTTTGATCGATGATAATGAAACGATACTATTTTCCTTTTTAGTGTATGCAGTATTTAAGTGAATCTTATTAGATATCAAAAGAAGCTATGAACGGCTTACGGCCATATCAGGTTGAAACATTGGTTCCCGTACAATCACCGAAGTTAAACAACGTTAAGCCTAGTCAGTCCCTTGATGGATGACCGCTTGAGAATACCAGATTGTTACAATTTTTAGATACATTAGACTACTAGTGAGCCAATCCAAATGACTTGACTCACTTTATAGTCCACCAATTAACCAATCAGAAGACGTAAAATATTCAATCCGTCGTGTATAAAGGCAGCCATTTTGTTTACTCTCTCCGAACGTCCAGTGGCAACTTGTCAGGCGAAAGAACAGAAGGAAGAACTACCGAACTACTCTCTGCTACTTTACCGGGATATCCACTGCTAAGCTGAACAACGCTTCCCTACTGTCTTCGAAATGTTCACTGCTAACCTCTGGATTCTATACTCAAAGACGGCCGTCATCATGAACAACACAGATGCTGTAAGCTTGGATGTGCGGATGGTTTAAAGGAAATGATTAATCAGAGAACCGAGTTCAAATCTAAGTTGGTTTCGTTACATTCACTTAAGCGAAAATTTCTTTGGAAATGTATGACTCAGCATCTTACTCAAGCTATGGGTCGGTATCCATAAAACTGTAGTATCTACAAAAAAGTCTTACAATCTTAAAATATTTTCGGAATTTCAATGACCTGCAAAGAGTTTATAAGCCGTAGAAAACGAATGAATCAAATTTATGAACACGTAAAATAAGTAAAATATAGGATATTATTTCGAAAGTACTTATTAATATGAATAAAAATGTAGGATGAAAAAGCGAGGGAGAAGGTTGAAGAAAATATGAAATACGAATAAAATGATTGAAAGAAATAAAAGGAAGACAAAACGAGTGAAAAAGAAGGAATAAAGAGCTATAAAGAAAACAGAAGAAAAAAATGGAATATAAACATGCTTCTGCTTTTGAAATCAATAAAGAAAAGAGGCAACATCTGTGCCAATGAAGCCACATAAAAAAGCTATAAATAATAAAAACAAGAACAAAAAAAAAAAACGAGCAAGATTGAACGAACGAGTCTTAGAAAGAGAAAAGTTCCAGGAAAAAGAGAGAACGAGACAGGATTTTTACGTTGGAAACAAATAAAGAAAAGAACAAAATCTTGCCTGAGAAAACACATAAGAAAGAAAAAATAAACTATGAAGAAAAGGAGCAAGTGTTAGGAAGAGATGAACAAAAAAAGAGAAAACGAGAACAAAGGCGAATCAATGATGAAAATGCGAGAAAAGCTGCCCAACGAAGTATGTACCAGTGAAGTCATATATGAACGCGTGAATAAAAAGAAGAAAAAAAAAACTCAAAGGAAAAAAAAAAAAAAATCAGCTTTCTAATTACGACGGGAAGTGAAAAGTAGGAAGGAAAACGAAAGCAAGAAGTTTTCAAAGCGAAGTCCTGTTATTAAAAACTGATCAGAAACATTTCCACTGTTCCACACGAGCGTCCACAATCAAACGAGTCCAGATAAAAAAAAAAAAAAAAAATTCAAACAAAACTTTCACCTTTTTTGCCTTGACTAAATTTCATGTCGGAAGTAAGAGACCGGAAGTAATGTATCGGAAGCAGCTAACGACCGACAAAATTAATGATGACATACCACGAAATCAAGGGAGGGGGAAAAACAAAACTGTAAACACAAAGAAAACTAAACGAATAGAAAGTTTTGAATTCAAACGATTAGAAGAATATTGACTGCGAATTTGTTGAGAGCAAGCGCAGAATAGCGAGGAGTTAAGAAAAAAAAAATGGCTGTTTATTGAATTTGTTTATTAGTTGTCTTTTCTTATTTCTTCATCGGAGATAGCGTGTATCAAGAACAAAGGGAGGCCACCCAACTTAAATTTTCGTGTTTCTTACAAAGAGTTACTACCCTTTTTTGTGTGCACGACAGCGAAACATGCAAGAGATCACATGGTAGTTGAGCTTTGAAAGAGAATTTCTTGTTAGATGAAGATTGAAAGATGCTAATATATATATATATATATATATATATATATATATATATATATATATATGGAGAGAGAGAGAGTGATAATGTGGGTATTAGAATCGAAACTGAATTGTGATTCACATTTGCACGCTTCAATGCGATCATATCAAGTGTCACTATTTCTAAATATAATACACACGCACGCACACACACATATATATGTACAAAGAAAACAAATAAATTAATGAAATAATATATATATAGAGAGAGAGAAACAGATAGATAGATAGATAGATAGATAGATAGAGAGAGAAACAGATAGATAGATAGATAGAGATAGATAGATAGAGAGAGAAACAGATAGATAGATAGATAGAGATAGATAGATAGAGAGAAACATAGATAGATAGATAGATAGATAGATAGATAGATAGATAGATACATTTAAATCTAAGTGAGGAGACGATCTCTTTGAACATGTAACCATGAAAATATTCCTGATAACACCGTGGTTAATGCGATCAACCATTTTCCGTCATCTTCTTCGGGGTGTTCTTTTGACCGGTGTTGGGAGACAAAGGAATTGCTCCGAAAAGAGTAGCGGCAACCGTATGTAGAAATTCCTTTAATCTCCGTGTAGTACTTCGCATCTCGGCGTGGTGTAATGGTTAGCAAGCTTGTCTCGCTAAAACAGTTACAACTGAAAAGTGAGTTCGATCCTCACTAGATGCCCAATACTTTCGGCCTTGTGCCACATCTAAGCTACGCTTGGAAAATAACTATATGCATGTCGGATTAGCCAGAAAGATGACTAATTAATGATATCGGCCTGGAGAGGTGATGACAACGTGAGGCATCTTTGGAGAGTGCCTGGAATAGTTATCACAGATTGAACCAAATGACTGAAATTGGGTAGGGGAACTACTCACAGCCACTGCATTGACTTCAGTTTGACACCTACGCACTCTGAAAACTTAGTATTAGAACTTCCGGCGCGAATGCCAAGCGGTACAGTATACAATTTCCAAATTACTGGCGGATCGAATTCCGTCATAATGCTCTTTTTCCTACTGAGGGTGGCCAACAGATTCGACTATACGGTGCAGTCAAAATAATAATAATAATGATAATAAAAAAATAACAACACGCATATCAAGAATTTAAAAAATATAAAATGGTAACAATTTACTCATCACACCCTGTATAAGTTCTAACATCAAAATAAAATTGAGAAAGGAATTAACATTATTTGAACTTGTTGTGTGAAATAAAACTATGTAAAAGATACCTGGCGCGATACGCATGCAAATAAATCCACATATTTGGTCGGATTTTTTAGGCAAGAAAACGATGATTAGAACTGAAAATAAACAATTACACATTAAAAAATGAATACACGTAAAGAAATAAAATCAAGTCAAAAAAATAAAATACGGCAAAATAAAATGAAATAAGATATTTTCTCTGACCTCGCCTCGACTGAAAACGACCACTATTCCCTAGGATATCCGGAGATGCTTCGTCCAAATAAAAAATCTCTCTGAAAATTCGGCAAATTTCCACGTTCATTCGGCCCAAAGGAATCATAAACTACTACTATTACCTACTATATCCGGAGACACTTTGTCTAAATAAGAAAATCTCTTTGACCTCCCCTCCACTAAAACTTCGGCCAATTTCATCGACCAATCGGCCCAAAGGAATCATAAACTACTACTATTACCTACTATATCCGGAGATACTTTGTCCAAATAAGAAAATCTTTTGACCACATCTCCACTGAAATTTCGGCCAATTTCATCGACCATACGGCCCAAAAGAATCATAAACTACTACTATTACCTACTATATCCGGAGATACTTTGTCCAAATGAGAAAATCTCTTTGACCTCCCCTCCACTGAAACTTCGGCCAATTTCATCGACCACACGGCCCAAAAGAATCATAAACTACTACTATTACCTACTATATCCGGAGACACTTTGTCCAAATAAGAAAATCTCTTTGACCTCCCCTCCACTGAAACTTCGGCCAATTTCATCGACCACACGGCCCAAAAGAATCATAAACTACAACTATTACCTACTATATCCGGAGATAATTTGTCTAAATAAGAAAATCACTTTGACCTCCCCTCCACTGAAGCTTCGGCCAATTTCATCGACCATTCGGCCCAAAGAAATCATAAACTACTACTATGACCTACAATATCCGGAGATACTTTGACCAAATAAGAAAATCTCTTTGACCTCCCCTCCACTGAAACTTCGGCCAATTTCATCGACCATTCGGCCCAAAAGAATCATAAACTACTACTATTACCTACTATATCCGGAGACACTTTGTCTAAATAAGAAAATCTCTTTGACTTCCCCTCCACTGAAACTTCGGCCAATTTCATCGACCATTCGGCCCAAAAGAATCATAAACTACTACTATTACCTACTATATCCGGAGATACTTTGTCTAAATAAGAAAATCTCTTTGACCTCCCATCCACTGAAACTTCGGCCAATTTCATTGACCATTCGGCCCAAAGGAATCATAAACTACTACTATTACCTACTATATCCGGAGATACTTTGTCCAAATAAGAAAATCTCTTTGACCTCCCCTCCACTGAAACTTCGGCCAATTTCATCGACAACACGGCCCAAAAGAATCATAAACTACTAATATTACCTACTATATCCGGAGACACTTTGTCCAAATAAGAAAATCTCTTTGACATCCCCTCCACTGAAACTACGGCCAATTTCATCGACCACACGGCCCAAAAAAGAATCAAAACTCACTAAACCGGAGATAATTTGTCTAAATAAGAAAATCTATTTTGACCTACTATAAACTCGGCCAATTTCATCGACCATTCGGCCCAAAGAAATCATAAACTTTGACCTAAATCCGGAATACTTTGAAAAATCTCTTTGACCTCCCTCCACTGAAACTTCGGCCAATTTCATCGACCATTCGGCCCAAAAGAATCATAAACTACTACTATTACCTACTATATCCGGAGAGACTTTGTCCAAATAAGAAAATCAGTTTGACCTCCCCTCCACTGAAATTTCGGCCAATTTCATCGACCATTCGGTCCAAAAGAATCATAAACTACTACTATTACCTACTATATCCGGAGATACATTGTCCAAATAAGAAAATCTCATTGACCTCCC